ATTTATTTACTAACTTTAAATTATATATTATTTAATAATAATAAAAAATATATTTACTTAATTAAATTTTATATAAATAATATAAGTATTATGTGTATAAAATTAATAATTAATTTAAAAATTAATATAAAATTTATCATATAAATAGATAAATAACTTTAAAATTTTTTTAATAATTTTATCTCTTCTAACACAAATATCTGGCTTCGTCCTGGGCTTATGTCAACCATTAAATATAGCGATCCCACCTAAAGCCACACCCCACGTCCATGGAATCCCACCACCAGCGACAAACATCGCATCTCAAGCTAACAACGCAAGAAGGACGAGACCAAAATTGCTCTTGTATTTAAAACTCTAGTAGTGTGTTTGGTTTGAAAGAAGATAGGGGGGCGAATTTTTTTATATCAATTAAATTATAATATTTAAAAATATTATAATTTGATTGGTTAAAAAATTTTCATTCTTTTTTCATTATTTTTCTCAACTGAAACATACTATAAAAATATGTACCTTGAAGAACAATGAAAAAATCTACTTTAATGTCACATTGTCACAATTAGTATTATTTTACATAAATTTATATATATTTTATATTTATTCTTCAAATAAAATACTTAACAGAACGCACCTGGACTCCACGGTCCAACGACCATAAGCCGGCTTATAAGGTGCATCCATCATGCTCGAGGGCTGGGGTTCGATTCCCCCCTCCCCTATATTTATAACCTTATTCAAAAAAAAAAAAAAAAACTTAACAGAACATTTATTCTTTAATATATATACATAAATAAAGTTTTTTAAAAACTTATATCAATATTATTTTATTTAATATATATAATATAATTTTCAAACCCCTTTTTTTAGTTGGATAGAAGCTTGCTTTATGCCCCTCACCTTATCAAGTTTAAAGATTTTAACCATTAACCTTATATTATGACATTTTTAGCCCATCACCTATTAAAATTAAAGAAAATAGTTCTCATTTTGTAACATTTTGTTAGTTCTATTAGTTGACTATTAACTCTATTAACTGACTGTTAGTTAATTGTTAACTGACAAAAACCTTCTTTCAACTAACATAATTAACAAAATTAATTTTATAATATTTCATTAATTCTGTTAACTGGCAATTACTTGACGTTAGTTGACAAAAATCTATTTTCAGCTAACAAAGTTAACAAACAGTATAAAGTGAGAGTTATTTTCTTTGATTTTAATAGCTGAAAGTTAAAACCTACAAATCTAGTAAGATGAGGGGCTACAAGTATTATAGTATAAGGCAAGGGGTTAAAACCTTTAAACTTGATAAGGTGAGGGGATCAAAGTAGGTTTTTGCCTTTTTAGTTGACGCAACAGCTTAGCAAAAAAGTTTGTCTCCAAAGGAGCAAAAACAGAGTTGTTTTTGTCGCTTTAATAGACCTGCCAAACGAATGGGTTGGGATGGGTTAAGTTGGGTTAAAATTGAGTTAAAACGGGTCACGGGTCAAAATGGATTGGGTTAAAACAGGTTATAGGTTAATGACGACAAACTCTAACCCGCCTATCACAAATGACGGGTCAATCCGCAAGTTGACTCAATTGAATTTTTTTCCTTTTTTTCTTTATAATTTGTACCTATTATTATTTAAAGAAAATTATTTAAAAGATTTAAAAACTAAATTCAACATCTTATAAAAAGATTTTTTTCCCCATTAATTTAATAAAACATATTTACAATTCCTCAAAATCACATTTTCCACTTCCCTTCAAAGAACAACGATCATCAAATTTGAGAACACCACACATTTATTTTTGCTAAGAGAGTCAATTAGCTAATTAGGAAAAAATAATCAATTATTAAAGGTTTAGTGGGATTGAAAATTGAAAAACAAAATAAATAAATAATAAATTAAAATTTTCTAGATTTTTAAATAGGCAAACGAGTGAAACTTGTTAACTCGATGGGTCAACTCATTATTGACCCATGACTTGTTGGGTTCTTTTAATGGGTCATTAACGAGTTACGAGTTATTAACGAGTTACAGATCATAAATATCTCACTCTAATTCATTTTAAATAGGTGAGTTAATGGGTTGGGTAAAAAATTACCAAGTCTACGCTTTAAGGATAAAAAAATTAAGAGGGCTAATATTAAAAACAGTCTAATGTTCATAGACTCATAGGAATTCTGTCTACGCTCTCCTTTTGAGGAAAACATAAAAGCAAACTCCCATGGAAGAAATGAACATTTTTGATAAGGTTAAATGCTAAATTTGGTCTCTCAACTTTAAGAAATGAACATTTTTGATCCCTCAACAATTTTTTGCACTTTTTTGATCCCTCAACTACAAGAAATGCACTCCGTTAGTCATTCTGTTAATTTGAGCCGTTAACTTCGCTTATGTGGCATTTTTTATATTTTTTTTGATGATGTGGAGAGCAAAGTGATGATATGGACAAACATTTTGATATTTCATATTACCGTATGCCAAATCATATTACCATGTGTCAAATTCATTTAAATGGGTCCCACCTCACTAATAAAAAAAAATCTTTTGATGACATGATAAATTAAGTGATATTTTTTTATATTTTGTTAATAATATAACAAATTAAATTAAATATTTATCCAAATAAAAAATAATATCAAATCAAATTTTATTAATTAATCAT